AGCTCCCCGCGAGCTCCAAGAATCTCTGCACGTGCTCTCTTGGTGACTCGCTCTGAAGACCATGGAACAAAGCATTATTCTATATCATATTCACTAGAGCCAGCTTGATCTCAAATTTTTTTGCCGCTGCGGGAGGGTGTAGGATTGGTGATTGAATGTACGCCGGCCGTGGGGCCATAAAGTATCCCATTGTCCTCGGGGCTTCCTCTTCCGCCGCTGCATCATTTATGTTACGAGCTTGGGCGGCTCCCTCTTGTCTTTGGTTCCCCTCCATTTCTACTCCAATGACGGGTTCAACTTCCACTTCTTTGATTTCTTCTCCACTAGCACCGGAACCAAATTGTTGTCCCCCTTTCTTCACCTCTTTTCCATGCCTCTGCTAGCTCTCTCTCCCGTGCTGGGAGCCGGAGAGTTCGGTTTATGTCATCATCACGTGGTATCAAATGTGTCGTATTACTCTGGGTCATGCACCTCCTACACACAACCAGAAAAAAATACCAAGTCTAGCACAAGCAAAGCACACACACACTTTCAAAACTGAAAATTAAAAGCTAGATTAACACCAAACAACTTTTTCAAGATAACATACTGTTGTCCCCGACAACGACGCCAAAAACTTGACTCGCTCTGAATATCACAATTAATTCCCGGCCTAAGATCCAAGTATAAACCTTAGTCGGGTGTAATACAGGGCAAGTATGTTTAAATATCGACTCGGGCCGGTCTGTGTACCCCTACTTCAGTCATTTGAATCATTATCTAGCGAATCGGTTTTGGTTGAAAAGTTTGCTTATTAAAGTAAAGCAAGTCATAATTAAATGGTTTTGAAAGCTCTTTGTGAGAAGGATCACTCGGGTGTCGCTTCCCCCTAACTACTACCATGGTATGTGAATCGAAGTGATTGCTATGGGCAAGGTAACCGCGAACCGCTAGGGGATACAAATATGGTCGTAGACCACACTCTCGATTGCCGAACCGAGAGATACATTATAGGCTATTCAAGTGGCCCTCTTGGTTAAGGCAATCAATGGTTGACTTACTCCCTCACTCAACCCAATGGTTGGTCGGCTTAATCACGCTTAACCAAATTGCTTAATTCAACATAGAGGTTTACCCTACACAAACCTAGATAGGTGGCTTAAGAATCCTTAGGAATCCCAACTCAATTGAGCCTCCCTTGAAAGGGGGGTTTCCCCTCTAATCTAGGTTAGAATGGCCAATTTGATTGCTAAGCACAACATGCACAATCAACATGAAAAATACCTCAACCATTGAATTAAACAACACCCATAAACAATCATTCAATTCACATAATAACTACATGGCAAATAGTTAGGGTTTCACAACACCCAAGTGAAAAAGGAAACTACTCCATGCTAGAAAGGGGAAGAACACAAGAGGAATAGGTAGAAACCATCACGGTGATACCTCCAATCTCCTTTGAGCTTGTGTTGCTCTTTTCTTGTGGAGAATCTTCCCAATTCACCACTTGGAGCAAACCCTAGCCTTCGTTCTTCTTTGGTTCGTTCATTCTCTCTCTAAAATCTAAAGAAGAAGACATTTTCTCACTCTTGGGCTCTCCCTTCTGTCTTCCTTTCAGCTCTCCTTTTGAATAGGGATCAGGCTCAGTTCACGGCCTAAGTTCACGGCCGTGAACTCTTGAACGCGTCCGTGAACTCAAGGTTGGCGTCGAAATGCACCGTTTTGCTTGCACAGGCTCACGGACAACAGCTCCAGTTCACGGTCTTAGTGACCGTGAACTCACTCAGCGTTAGTAACTTCAGAATTCGCCCTGGCCGCCTTGATGTTCACGGGCAATAGCTCCTCTTCACGGTCTTAGCAGACCGTGAACAACCAAGAGAAACCATGCACTGTCGGTTTTTCACCTCTTCTCCCGATTTTTGCTCCTTTTCGTCCAACTTCTGACTCTGGGGCTGGTTTCACCTGTTAAATCCTGGAACATGCTAAAACACTAGGAACCTCGTGTAAAACCACCTCTTTAGGAGCACAATTGCTGCAACGCCTTATGAAAACGTGGATACAATATGTACAATTAGGCCCAAATCAATAAACACAGTAAAGACCTTCCTAGCAGTTGCAAGTTTGAGGAATTGGACTCTGGAACAAATGGATGTATTTAATGCATTCTTACATGAGGATTTAGATGAATTGGTTTACATGAAAATCCTACTTGGACTTAAAGTAAACTCAACAGGAAACCAGAAGATGACCTGCAGGTTGAAGAAGTCATTATATGGCTTGAAACAAGCTTCCAGGCAATGGTTTGCCAAGCTTACCAGTTTTCTGTTGAAGTTGGGTTTCTCCCAGTCAGTTTCTGATTACTCACTCTTCACAAAATGGACACATGGAAGGATTACAGTCTTGCTTGTGTATGTTGATGATATCTTAGTTGGAGGTGATGCCTAGAAGGACATAGATCAAGTCAAAGCAGCTTTGAGTAAGGAATCCAAGTTGAAGCTTCTAGGACCATTAAAGTATTTCCTTGGTCTGGAAGTCAACATGGATAATAAGGGTTTAAATGTATGCCAAAGGAAGTGTTGTGTCGACTTACTAAGGGACACAGGTTACTTGGAGGCTAAGGGATGCAAAACTCCTATTGATGCAAAAGTAAAGCTGAGTTCCAAGGGAACATTGCTGGAAGATGGTGAAGCATACAGAAGGCTAGTTGGGAGGCTTCATTATCTCAAAATTACAAGACCATAATAGTGTTTGCAGTGCAACAACTCTGTCAATACCAAAGGAACCCTTGTGAAGAACATATACAGGCTGCCTATCGAGTGTTAAGATATCTGAAGTCATCACCAGATCAAGGCATACATTTCAACAATGCAGCAGAGGAAAAAATGGTTGGCTTTAGAGATTCAGACTGGGCCAGTACATGTTATTGTACTTTCTTTGGCTCTTCTTTTCTAAACTGGAAAACCAAAAAGCAAACAACAGTTTCAAGATCTTCATCTGAAGCTGAATATAGAGCCTTGGCACACCTGGTTTGTGAGACTGAATGGTTAAAGAGGTTACTTTCTGAGTTAACAGTGTAGGTACCACTCCCTATCCTTGTGTATTGTGACAACAGATCTGCCATACACATGGCAGAGAATCCTGTTTTCCATGAGAGAACCAAACATATCGAGATTGATATGCATGTTACAAGAGATAGGATTAAAGCTGGTTTGATTAAGCTGAAGCATGTTGGAACAGTTGAACAACTTGCAGATATATTCACCAAAAGACTTGATCGGTTTAGAATGAAGGAGATCTTATGCAAGTTGGGGATTATAGGAGTACCACCAACTTGAAGGAGCGTGACAGAGTTGAAGTTCTGCAGAGAGTAGCAATCCTGATTGACTGCGGATTTAAAGTGAATGAAAACAGTGTCGTTTACAGGAGACTGAAAAAGAACGAAAGCCGAAGAAAGAAGGAGAACAACGACATTTTATTTAATGTTGTTAGCCGTTAATTTTACTGTTAGTTTAAACTGCCAACCTATCATGTAAGGCCCCGTTTAGTATCATTTTGTTGCTGTTGTGGTTGCAGTGGTGTTGTGTAAACAGATGTACAACCACAACAGGAAAAAAAAAACAGAAAACAAAAACCTGTTTAGTTGATAAATCTGAAAAATCATGGAAGCTGACAACAAGAAACAAAAACGCGTTTAGTTAATACTATAAGAACTAAAAACCAGAAAAAAGAGAGATGTCCTCAATATTAAGCAAAGTCTCACAAAAGTCAACATACCTAACATCATTCGTGTTCCTTACCAAAAAAAAAAATAATAATAAACATGATTATCACTCCATAACTGGTTAGCAATGTCATCACGCTTCTCGGTCATCTCACGTGTTGCTGCATAGCTGACGTTGAACTCAGTGAGTGGTAGTTTAACCCCAGAAGTCGAACCTTCTTCATCTTCATAATTTTCATATTCATGAAATAGTTTATCATCTTTTGCATGAATCTTGATGAAATTATGTAAGGCGCAACAAGCAATGACAATACTTGTTTGCTTCCTCAAGCAACAATACTAAACGGGCCCTAAGAATACATATTGTGTTTCTGTTAATTGCAAGAATAGCTATAAAAGCTACAGAGGACTCAGGTTACAGCTGAGTTTCCTCTCCAACAATTATCATTTCTTACAAAATCTACAAACAAACCCAATGCTGATAAATTGGATATGGTTGTTTTTGGGTCAAATGACCAATTGGGCTGTCGGATTTTGCTCTTTTGCCTCGCCTTTACACTTTACCGACTGTGATCTAATGGATCAAAGATTTTACCCTGTTTACTAATGGTGTTACTTGCATATATATAATGGCTAGCACTGGTGCAGAAAACTGCCCTCGAAGATGCCACATGATTTGGATTGAGGAATCTGGAAGTGACGAGGGCATATGGATTACAAATTCGCCAGCTTCAACATCTCCGAAACCACTTTTTGTCGCCATGCATGTCAGGGGGCCAACGTAAAAAAATGTAGTTAAATTATTAGAGATATTGAGGTTTTTCACTAATTTACAACTTTATTATACTTACATTTTAATTTGATTATAATTACATGTAATTTAGACAAGAACGGATCGAGAATGGGGCGGGTCGGGTCAATGAGAGTACCTATGCTCTGGCCGCCACGTAGGCGGGGCGGACCCGCCCAAAACAGGCCAAACAGGTCAAAACGGATTAGGTCTAAATTACCATCCCTACTCTGGAAAGCTTAGCTGATTGATTGGTTAATTTCGGCCAACTAGTCTTTGTAATATGGTCTACTGAACTATGATATATAATGATCTTTGCAATATGGTGCACTGATATGAATTCCGTTCTTGCACAAACCTCCACAACCATTTGCTCATTAGTGTCATGTTTATAATCCTCAAATCCTGTATTCCCAACCCACTTACTCTCTTGGGGGCCTTACATTGGTTCAAAGATACAAGTTTTTTGTTCTTCAGCCCCGTTCCACAAAATTCTTCTGCAACTTTTCCACAATAACTATTTATAAGAAAATATAAAGACATCCATATAGCCGAGAAGAATCAGAGCAGCCACCTTATCAACCACATTTCCACGAGGGCCATGGCCCCAACATCCGATTGTGGATACAAAATTGGTGATGGTAGAATGTCTTCTCATTTAGCCATCAAACAAGACATCAGCAGCAAGGCAAACTACTATTAAGTATTAACCTGCAAACCACAACTACTTCTCACTTCCACAGCCGCCATACCTATAGCTATACATAACTCCCACGATTCAGTCATATGGGGCACTCATCTAATCTACTTTTGTGTAGTTGAAAAGCAGGATTAACCCAAGCCCCACAATTGCACTGCATCCCTGCCCAGTTGAATGAACCCAGCCTCGCATTGCATCCCATGCATAGAAGTTTCTCCCCCACAAAGCCTTCCTGCACTGCTCACAAACCAAAACAATTCAAGACCGGATCAAGGAAGTTAGCAATTGGCAATGTGCATATCCCAGGAATCGGCACTTGATGTAAGACTTGAGGTCAAGTTCATGCCTCACCTGTTTGCATCCACTTCATTGGCTCAACAAAAATGGAGGAGCACTCAACAGCAGTTGGTGTCTTCTCAATGGCGCCGCCACTTCTCTTTTTCCATTTGAATGATTCTTGGCCCTTCCCACGCTCATGAAGTACTATGTTGTCGTCGGATGCAACAATCCTGCGGCACTTCTTGCAGCGGTAAACTAGTCCAAGTTTCTGGCTGGCATTAGTAGCATGGGTATCAGTCTCACTGCCTGCAGACACAGCTGCTGGAGCAGCTTCTGCGTTTGAGTCATCTGTTGCCATGTTGGTATAACTCTAAGTCTCTAACCACTTAAAACCCTGTAAACGGAACCCAAAAATGGTTAAAGCAGGCTTTGAGGGGAACAATTATGTTAAACCCCTGCATTTCAAATTTGCCAAACAACATACTCATTGTTCAATCATTCATTCTTCTCACCCTACAATAGAGGCAACACAAAAGAAGCGAATAAACCCAATTTGCAGAATACGGCCTTAATTACATAGAACGGACTGAATACAGAACCATCACATTCTTGCTAAATCTCTGCCATATTTCGGAAGCTGACATAGTAGCCATACGGCATAGGCTTCAGATGCAAAATCAGACACCGTAATCGTTCGATTATATGAAATTAGGTAAGCAGGCCACACATTAGGGTTTGTTTCAGGGCTGCATAATTAGGTTCAGTTCGAGGCGAACGTCAAACATGGCTGATGAGGTACACGGAGAGATCAATGGAGGAATCGAAAGGAGAGTAATGCAGATGAAAAAAGGGGCGAGACTTACCTTCGTAGAGAGCTCTTTCGAAGACCGTCGTTTGATCTCAGTAGTGGCCGGCCCGGATGGGTTATAGTTCTACCAGCCTGCATTGTGTCGTGTGTCTCTGTGAACAAGTCGTAATTCTCAGTTCCGACTCCGAATCCGACTGCGATTAAGATGGCACACTTAACCGACGACGTTTTGCTCATAGATATTGGATCCAGGACCCAGCGTGCTTGTGCCACTAGGGGTGTTCAAATGGTTACCATGGTAATAACCAAACCAAATAAGTCTAAAATCTATTAACCATGTAATACAATATCATAACCAAACCGTCCAAACTAATACAACAACCAAATTAACCAAACTAAAGTTTATTCGGTTTGGTTAATTGGTTAACCAAAATAACCAATATAACACCACATTATCATTAAGTGAGAAAAAATTTCAGTTAGTGCATTAATTTGCAATTTATATAATGAACAACACATAACAATCCACATAATTACAGTTAACCCTTAACGTAAATACATGTAATAAATACAATTATCTTACGTTTGACTCTTGAGTGGTTATGCAAAGTATTAAGTATGTGTATATAATATATATTAGATATATGACAAATTACTTAACTGGTTAATTTGGTTTGATTGGTTAGGAGTGCCTGAAACCAAACCAGACCACTTAAACCAAACAAGCTAAATTTTTTAACCAAACCAAACCAATTATCGAAATTAACCAAACCAAATTAGCCAAATACTACTGGTTAAAATGGTTACCATGGTAACCAAAACGTTTGAACGCCCCTATGTGCCACGCTTCGCTATGGATCGCGGCCTTTTCACTATTTTGGCCTTCCTGCGGTCCTGCCTTAGATTATCTGTTCGTAAAGTGAGAGCATGAAAGCGTCAAATGTCAAAGAATTCAATATTCAAAACATGAAGAAAGCGTAATTATTATATTATTATATTTATACAAGCAAGTAACTAAGTGATAGACAAAAACTTAATCCCAAAAAAATTCTATTAATGTGTAATTAACTAATTATCCAAGTTTGAAATGTAAATAGTTATTCATAATTTGTAGGGACTATATTGTGATTTCACATATATAATGGACATAAGGTAATTATTTTTTCATTTCTTTTCAAGATAAAAACTAGCTAGCTAGGTGTAACAAAAGGGGATAAGGATTTGAATTTTCCCTATTTCGTTCTCTCTCATTCTTCTTCTTCTCTCCATTGTTGTATTATTTTTGCGGTTTAATATATTTGTATGGTCTGAACTTTTTACATAATAAACATCCTGCCAATCTATTACACCCCATTTGGGTTTAGATTCAAGTGTAATAAATGCATGTATTGGATCGTTGATTAGTACTAAATTGACTCGAACCAAATTAGATATAAAGATCACAGTCCAAATTAATTAATTGGGCTGAGTTGGATTACTTTGCACTGTAAATGGATTGGAAATGCATCATAGAAGACCATGAATTGGACCCCCTTTCAATATGAGTTGAACAGTAGGCAGGAGTTGGCCATTATATCGTGAATGCTACATGGGTTATTGAGTGGGCCTTGGCCACGATGACTACTTGGAGCGGTGCTTCGTGGGATTAAGTTACAACACAAGTAAAGTAGATTAGGGTTAGGCGGTGATTGGAGGAAGATCGAGTGATAAATGGGTAGCTAAATGGTAGGGGTGGCAATCGGTCGGTTTCGGTTTAACCGAAAACCCGGTTATCGGTTAAACCGAGCCACACCCTATACCTGCCGACCACCGATCATGAGAGAGGTCACGATTAGCCGGCCAACCGACCGGTCGGTATCGATTTTAGGCTCGGTTAGCCAGCCAACCGGAAAATTACCTTTTATACAAAAAAAAAAAATTAAAAGAACAAAATTTTTGAACCACTCATTTCAATCCTTATCTTCTCCTCTCTCCTTCCTTTTCCACCAGACCACTTTTTTCTCTCTCCTTCCTTCCTCCACCAAACACACCCACCAAAGTGAAGAAAAGCGCTGCAGGAGAAGCGGCGGGAGATATGTTGGATGAGCTACATGACTAATCGGCCTGGGCACTGGGCGGTGCCTCCTCGCCTAGATAGCGCCTAGCGTCTTCTTGAACATTGAGGATGCCTAGTTAAGATTTTCAGTAGCAGCAACGACATATACTACCTATTTATTTACATGTTATGATTATGAGTATAGACTGGAGATCAGATTGAGATTCTAAAGTTTGAGTTTAATTTGCCCACGTGTTAGGCTTTGCTTTGAACTACAAGTGTGTGTATTCAGTATTTTATTTATGAAAATTTTTCTCGCTGCAATTTAAGATTTGAGTATTTTATTTATCAAGGGCATTTTAGTAAAACTAGTACCCGGCCGGGTTAAGGTGTATCACAATCTTTTCGATTTATAATATCGTGGCCTGAACTATAAATCAAAGTAACAAAATTGGCCAACCCTGAAAATTGACCGTTATCTTGGACGGTCAAACGCATTGACTAACGGTCAACGTGCCATGTCACCGCCAAGTCAGCACCTTTCACTTAAATTTTTTTATATTTTCCACTTATTATTTTTCATTTTGAATAAAAAAATTGAAAAAAATAAATAGTAATAGGTGGAAAAGATAAAAAAATTTAAGTGAAAGGTGCTGACTAAGAGGTGACGTGGCTCGTTGACTAACAGTCAACGCGGTTGACCATCCAAGATAACGGTCAATTTTTGGGTTTGGCAAATTTCGTTACTTTGGTGTATAGTTCAGGCCATAATGTTACAGATCGAAAATATTAGTTAGGATGTTTATTATGTTAAAAGTTCATACCATACAAATATATTAACCCTATTTTCTCAAAGGCCAGTTCTCATAAAAAAGACAGTTGAAAACAACCAACATACCAAGATCTCCTCTTTATCTTGTACATCTACAAGGAGCTACCGTCGGTTGCCCTCCGTGGAATAAAATCGCAAGCCTTGCTATAATTATTAATTGCGGGTGGGTAACAAAAAGAGAGTTGGTTTAACTGGTTATCGGTAATTTTCGATTCATCTTCGCTTACTTCCACGCAGACGGCCTGTCGTTCTTCGCCGCCTCTTAGGAGCCGAGCCTGGTAAAATTGCTCCAAATCCAACCCTCGATTTCTAGATTGTTGGAGGAACCAGGAGGTCGGTTCGGGTCTCTAAACCCAACCCAAAGTACCAACAGACTTGAGGGTTTCGTATTTAAATGCAGTTGTAATTTTTAGAGATGTTATGTGAAAATTAATAATCAAACTCCCTAAAACCCTATTCCTCCCAATCCCTTATGTGTTCTTCCCTACCTTCCGCCGACTCTCATCTTCTCAACCCTTCTATCCCATCAATCTTCTTTGCACCTCCCTAGTACCTACAACAATTGGTATCAGAGCCTCCTTAACTCATCATAGTTCCCATGGACGCTGTGGCTCTACACAATTTCGGCGAGTTTTGTCGCCAATTGTCTCGCGATGCGGCGGAGACGGCAGCAGCTCGTGCGGCGGCCTCAAGAGCAACTAATATGGAGCAAGGGCCGGCAGATCCAGCACTCAACGCGGCTGATAGACCGTTATTTACACATGTTTTTACCCTCGTTCTTACACCGTTTGAGGTGTTGCTTCTCGTGTTTTAGGCCGATTTCACGCTAGGTTGTGCTTGTTTGTGATATTTCAGGTCCTAGTACGTGAATGGAGGCTTGGGAGCGAGTCTGGGGTCGATTGGACGAAGATCGGACGCGTGGCGAGGTGTCAAGGAAGCCGCACGGGCAGAACAGGGCATCACACGGCCGTGCAAGTGAGCAAGATGGCCGTGTGCTTTTTGCCGAGGCCACGCACGGGCAACCCATGAACTTCACACGCCCGTGCTAAGTGCAATTCTGGCCGTGTGATATTTGCCGAGGCCGAGCACGGGCAAACTGGGATTCTCACACGGCCGTGCACCCTGGCCGTGTGGCAAGCCTGAGGATCGAACTTAATGAAACGTTGCGTTTTGAGCCGCACGGCCAAGTGGGTGAGTCGCGCGGCCGTGCACCCTGGCCGTGCGAGTCGGGGAATCCTAGTTTTAGAGCCTATTCCGAGCCAAAAGTGCGAGAATCGAGTTTTCAGAGCAAAAACAGAGCCCTAGAGAGAGAATGTGCGAAGAACACATCCTAGAAGCTATCTCAGAGCTGGGTTTCGTCGAATCGAGCTTGGAGATCGTCATAGGAGTGGAAATCATCATCCCGGAGCAGATTTTCCTCATCGTTATGAGCATGACTACTCCGATTACTGTTTTCTCTTCTCTCTCTATGGAGTAGAACCCTTCTCTCACTTGGGTATGAAGAACCCTAGTTCCTGGTGTTAGGGATTTGATTGTAATGACTTGGGATGATATTACTGTTTGATTTTAATCGAATGATGCATGTTTATTGAATTGATTTGAGTCTGATCAGCTTTTCTCGATTTCTGCTGCAACCTGAGATAGATAGAATCTGATTAGGTTGTTAGAGTCTCTTCATTCGATAGTAGGAGATTGGCTATACGAGAGTTAGCCATTTTACTGCTTTGTACTGGAATTCAATTCCAGTAGTGGAGTTCTGTGCTTACTGCTTCAGCTTTCTATCCCGGTGAAGACTAGTCGTCTGCCGGGTAGCTAGACTGAGAGGGCTTGGTCAGCTTAAGAGATTCCAAGCTACTGCCGGAGCTTCCGCAGTCTAATCAACAGTAAATCAACCCAGGGGAATTACAATTGAACCTAACTAAGGGGCTAGGGGGACTCAATCCCGAGTGACTCTTTCCTGACTTTGAAAACCGAACAATTTACTGCTTTCTTACTGCTTTAGCTTTAACAACAATCACTCGAATTAGTTTGCTAGATAATAGAGAATCACGGAGTAAGCACTAGATCTAGACCCCGGTTGATAATATAACTTGCCTGTTACTGCATTCCTGGACTGCGATTACACTTGGTCGTAGTTTGGTGTTGTGTTTTGGCGTGTCAAGTTTTTGGCGCCGTTCCCGGGGACCCTCTAGGTTATTGGGGAAACGTGAGAATTTGTTACTCTAGCTCTTTCTTTATTGCATTTTTCTCTTCCACCTGTGTGCCTTCACGGGTTGTTTCTGCTGACTGTGTGCAGGTA